TGTGTGTGAATGTTGTATGTGTGTGTGAGGTGTGTGTATGTGTGTGCATGATTGTGTATGTGTGTGAGTGTGTGTGCATGTGCATGTGTGAATGTGTGTGTGCATAAGTGTGTATGTGTGTGAGTGTGTGCATGTGCATGTGTGTGTGCATGTGTGAGTGTGTGCGTGTGTGTGCGTGTGTGCATGTGTGTGTGAGTGTGTGTGTATGTTTGTGTGTGAGTGAGAGTGTATGAGTGTGTGTTTGTATGTGTATGAGTGTGTGTTGGTGTGTGTGTGTGTTTGGACACGCATCCCACATGAAGATATATTTTCAGCAAGTGTTACCCAGAGACACAAGGTAAAGAGGTGCCCACTGAGCCTTACTTCCCAGGGATCCCTGGGCTGAGGTTGGGATGCTCTGAACAGGGCGAGGTCCTGCCAGGGACAGGGTCCCCACATTGGGGCCCATGGAGCACATCAATCACGTTCTCTGCCTCAAGCACAGTGCTCTGAAAGCCCAGCTTCTTTACCTTTGATGTTTCCACAACACCTGGATCTAATCTGGGGGGCTTACTTCCTACCTTGCTCCCTGTGCCACCTGAGGGCACTGTCCCCACATGTGTGATGGACAGAATGAGTGCTGGCAGGCCCCTTGGGACTCAGACACAGCATTCTATCCTGGAGGCCTGGAAGGGACTAAGCAGTGTAGGCCTGGCTGGGCCCCACACTCATCCTTCCTGTGGTGTGTGCTGACTGCAGGAGACGCCCTGAGGTGCAGGGAGCAACCTTCCCATGGTGCGTGAAGCCCCCAGCTCTCTGGAGCTTTGCTAAGATGCCCACTGTCCCCTGGGCTGACTTGTCTTCACCAGGCTCCCTTCCCTCCCACCTCCTTCTCACTGGACATGTACTCTCCTGGACCAAACTCCACTCAGGCCGTCCTCCTCTTAAACCAGGCCTGACTTAGGGCCTTCTGTGGTCACCTCTGCATCATCCAGTTTCAGCAAAACTCCGGCTGAGCAGTGTAGCGAGAGCCACCACCCTGGGTGTTGACTGTCCTGGGTGTTTGTGGGCTCCTTGTCATCTGTCCCCCAGAGCCGGTCTGGTCCCTGCCCTGCCTTCAGCAAGAATCCAGCCAGGTCAGCTTAGCCAGACATTCCCCCCCACCCCACAGACCTCCATCCTTAGCCTGTCCAGCTGCCTGCCCTGCTGGAGCCTCTGCCTTAGCCACAGCCCCCTTGGATCAAGCCTTCCGTGTGGTCTTTAGAAATCACTGATCCCTGATTCTTTATTCATGTTCAATCAAGGTCTTGAGCAGTTTCCTCTGAAGTCCCCTCTTTCA